TTAGCCGCGGACTCAATTTCGTTTAGGTTTTCCATTTTCGCACTAAATTTGCGCTTGCGGTTGCAACAACAATAAGTTGTCTTTAATAATTGCAAACAACTGTCAAACAACTGTAACCAGGGAGACGCAAATCCCACCGACGACTTAATTATTTTAATTTCTAACATATAGACGACTTTGATAGTTGTCACAGTTAATTTCGGTTAAAAATAGAATATGAACTGTACTATTTATGGTTGAAAATTGCTACGTTTGAAGAAAAAATAGTATACTTTATTCGGCAAAGAAGCGACTTTTCTTGCCACGCGCCTCACATCGTTCGGCGCGTAATATCGGGCGCGTCAAGAAAAGTCATGCTTCTCCGCCTCATAAAGTAATATACTCTTTTCTTCAAACGCCTCATAAAGTCATGCTTCTCCGCCTCTACTATACTATTTCCTCTATTGTCCGGCATTAATAGTGCCCTGACAAGTCGCTGGAAAAAAAATTGTTCATAGTTTGTAGTTCTACCAATGAACTTGACTTTCTTTTACTTGACTTTTGTTAATCAAAAAATCTAATATAAAAATAGTCAATACAGAAATTAATAAATAAAGTAATAAAGAAATTAATAAATTGATAAGATTTGAGATTTGATTAGTCTAATTTGGTTTTCGGTTTTAGTTGTTTAAGTTATTTTTTTCTGTTAGTTCTGCAGATAGCACCTGTCAAAGACTATAAATCACATGTTTACAAAACACAGTTTTGTATTGACCAATACCAGATTTGTTGAACATTGTATAATCTCAGACTATCTCAGAAAAATATTCTCAATAAGAAACTTTTCTACCGTTATAATCGAAAATAGCTGGTATTTTCCCTATTTCCGCTTCAAGCTTTCATTGTAACATAAGAATTGTTTGTTTGACTTTGAGTTTCAATCGGATAATATACTCATACGTCTGAAGTTGTATTGACTTTTTCGGATTCTCAGGATATGATCAGAGATTGAAATACAATATCAGAACTTTTCCATGGTTTTGAAATACGTAAAAAGCTATTTTCCTCCATAACGTTTCGTTTGTATGTTCTGTGAAAATAAATTGAAATTGCGTAGGGATTTCAGTTGTAAAAAGACAAGGGCTATAGAAAAGCAATCGAAAAAACAAGACGTTAGTTATTTCAATTTTTTTTTAATGATTGATTTTATTATATCATTTAAAACAAAAACATTGTCCTTGTGGTTTTTTATTTATTTTCAATAATAAAAAAATCCCTAAAACGTTGGCTATGCATTGACTTATGTCAAATTATATGAGATTTTTTTCATAATTAGGCAAGTTAAATTCAGATAAAGCTATGGAAAAATAACATCAAAACAATAATGTTAATGTCAAATGTAAATGACAATAACAGTTAATGTCAAATGTATTTTGCATTATTGAAAAGCTTTCTGCCGTTTGTTGATTGTACAATGGATCGAGGTAAAGTTATCGATGAGAAAATTTGTTTAATCATTATTAGATTTTTTAATTCTGGAAAATCCAATTCAGAAATCGCGAATATGTTGCATTGTCACGCTATAGTGTAAGAAATATAGCCAGAAGAAACAAAACTACAGATTCGGTCGTCGCAAAACCTAGAAATGTAGTAAAAAGTAAAATAACCGAAGCAGATCGAAGGGCATTAAGACGCATTATAGTGAAAATCAACGAGCAAATTATATGGAGTTAGGCGTTTTATGGAGTGACGTTATTGGAAGACACGTTTCTAGATCAAAATGTCACCCAAAGGCCCACAAATTAGGATTTGGTACGTACAAAGTTTTATAGTTATTAAAAAGATTAGAACGAATTGTTTTTCATATATTTCATTTTATTTTAGGTTAAGGAAAAGCCATTTTTAACGTTACAACAAAAGAAAAATAGACTGAGAGGATCAAAAAAGCATAAAGATTGGACTCAGTCGCAATGGGATTCACTACAATGGAGTGATGAGTCCTATGCATTATTAAAAATCTTTACTGGCATCAACGTGCAAACATCAGGATTGGCCAGGACACTTCTGAAGAGCTTCAAATACGAAGAGAAGTAAGGCAGGGCTGCATTTTGTCACCGCTACTATTTAACATCTATTCTGAGTTCTTTTTCAATAAAGCAGTGGATAATGTTCAATGTGGTATAAAAATGAATGGCGTCAATATTAATAATTTGAGATATGCGGATAACACAGTGTTAATTGCAAGCATTTTGAACTACTCCAATGCATTTTGCAGGGTAAAATTGAAGGAAAAAGAGCCCCAGGACGAAGAAAAATATCCTGGCTTGCTAACCTGAAAGCATGGTATAGAAAGACCTCAACACAATTATTTCGTATAGCAACCAATAAAATCATTATAGCCAGAATGATCGCCAACGTTCGGAACGGACAGGCACCCTAAGAAGAAGAATTGCAAGCAACTACGAAGAACTTCAACATCTAATTAATAGGATTACCACAACGTGTGATGAATATGGCCTTAAGCTAAACACCGCAAAAACAAAGGGAATGGTCGTCAGTACAACGCCAATACAACCGGAAATGGTAACAGCTTATGGTGAACAACTGGAGAGGACTAACAGTATCATTACCTAGGTTGTAATCTAAATGAGAACTGGGACATGAGCAAAGAAATTAGAATACGGATAAAGAAGGCCAGAGCTGCATTCTTTAAGATGAAGAAACTGTTATGTGAAAACAATATTACTTTAAGTCTGAAAATTAGATTAGTAAGATGGACAGGCATCCTAAGAAGAAGAATTGCAAGCAACTACGAAGAACTTCAATATCTAATTAATAGGATTACCACAACGTGTGATGAATATGGCCTTAAGATAAACACCGCAAAGACAAAGGGGATGGTCGTCAGTAAAACGCCAATACAACCGGAAGTGGTAACAGCTTATGGTGAACAACTGGAGAGGACTAACAGTATCATTACCTAGGTTGTAATCTAAATGAGAACTGGAATATGAGCAAAGAAATTAGAATACGGATAGAGAAGGCCAGAGCTGCATTCTTTAAGATGAAGAAACTGTTATGTGGAAACAATATTACTTTAAGTCTAAAAATTAGATTAGTAAGATGGACAGGCACCCTAAGAAGAAGAATTGCAAGCAACTACGAAGAACTTCAACATCTAATTAATAGGATTACCACAACGTGTGATGAATATGACCTTAAGCTAAACACCGCAAAGACAAAGGGGATGGTCGTCAGTAAAACGCCAATACAACCGGAAGTGGTAACAGCTTATGGTGAACAACTGGAGAAAACTAACAGTATCATTACCTAGGTTGTAATCTAAATGAGAACTGGGACATGAGCAAAGAAATTAGAATACGGATAGCGAAGGCCAGAGCTGCATTCTTTAAGATGAAGAAACTGTTATGTGGAAACAATATTACTTTAAGTCTGAAAATTAGATTAGTAAGATGTTATGTGTCTCTACTCTTTTGTATGGTGTCGAAGGTTGGACTTTGATGGATACACTTCTCAAGAAACTGGAAGCCTTTGAAATCTGGGTGTATCGGAGAATCCTACGAATAAGTTGGGTGGATAGAGTTCGTAACGAAGTTGTTTTGCATCGGATGGGAAAAGTTATGGAAGTCGTCAAAACAGTTAAAAATCGCAAACTTGAATATTTTGGCCATGTTATGCGCCACCCAGAGATATATAATATACTCCATTTAATAATACAAGGCAAGGTAGACGGAAGAAGCGGGCCAGGTCGAAGAAGAACATCATGGCTTAGAAACCTGAGAGATTGGTTTAAGAAATCCTCTGCATCTCTTTTCCGAGCTGCCGTCAACAAAATTACTATAGCCAATTTGATAGCCAACGCTCGATAATCGAGCACGGCACATGAAGAAGAAGAATATGAGTCCAGACTTTAAATGTGTTTTGGAGGCAGTAGGGTCATTCGCAGGAAAAATGAAGCTTTTTATCCCAACTGTCTGAAGAGAAAAGTCAAATTTTCTGCATATGTCATGATCTGGAGCAGCATGTCGTCTAAAGGTGTGGGAAAGTTAAATTTTATCGATGGGATTGTAAACACGGACAAATATTTGAATACTTTAGAAGAATCTCTTTTATCGATTATGGAACACCGCTTAACATCAGCAGAAGATTTTGTCTTCCAACATTACGAGCAGGTTGTCATACCACAGAAAACTGTTTAAAATGGATTGAAGACCATGGCATACCACTTCTGGAATAGTTTTCTAACTGTCCCGACTTGTCCACAATAGAGACTTTGTGGTGAGAAATGAAAAAAACTTTGAGAAAACATCCTGCCAGGTCCGTCAACGAATTGAAGAAACATGGCAAGAAATATGGGATTCGTTTACATTAGAATTTTGCCAGAACTTGATAAAAACTATGCCTCGAAAAATTGTGCATGCCATTAAAAATAAAGGGGATGCAACTCTTTTATTTTTGTTCTCTAAAATTTAATTATCTTATCAATCTAACGTTGCGTTGGTTGGCCCAACTGATATGGGAAGGGGTTCGTAAGTTGACTTTGGCTGAATATAATAAATATTAGATAAGACCCGGTTGAAGCGTAAATTTTAAGTAAGATCCTTTTCGTTATAACGCCCCAATCGCCCTAGAGATATTTAAATAAAGACTACTCTTTATTAATATAAACAAGATTTCATTGTAATGAATATTTGAACTGAACATATTGAGCCGAGAGTAAGTACATACTTAATAAATACTGAGATTGTACAATATTTACTATAGATACGAATTAAAGTCTATATTTGGCCTAGCAGCAAATTTAAAATAAGTATTTGGTTCTTTATAAAATGACGGATGTGGTAGAGAATGTTTTATATATGGCATTAATTGGATGCCAAATTGGGGTTATAAAATTGAAGTTATAAAAAACAATACTTAGTTGGTTACTTATAGTTTAATTAATTTCAATATGATTTACTAAAAATTCATGATACATTATAAATCTAATCATTACTCACCTATGAATGAGATACCTATGTATAACTTCGGCTACGTCGTGCATCTGTATGTACATACACACCAACTGAGGTAAATAAAAGTCCACCTCATGATTATCAAAACTAAACATCTTGTTAACAATATAACACAACACTCCCGGTTCTTTGCTATTGAAGAGGTAATGCATAGCCATCGAAACGTCGAACACTTTGCTCTCGAGCAATCGCAACATACCGGAACTCTTCGGTGCATCGGAGCTCGAACACGAACTCGAGCTGGTTTTAGTCCGTTCTGAGTCATCGTCGTTATCTTCCGAGCAATCTACTTCTTTTGATTCGGTCTTGCGTTCGGCCGCGATATTATCGATGTATTCGACACTAGATTCTCGAGTGGCGTTAGATTCGGACGACGAGCCGGCATCCGAACCGCACAGGATACCAGAATCGTCGGAACCGAGGCTGGCGAGTTCATCGTTTCGTTGCTTGGAAGACGATTTGGGATGAGGTTCGTTTGTGTTGGAGACGGTGGAACATAAAATGGCGTTGACAGTTTCGCATTCTGGACTTGGTGTGACGTCTACCTCTGGGATACGTTGGAGCGCGGAATCTAGACTCCGGTTGCGGTGGTGGTGAGTTAGGTGGTTGGTCGTCGAAGTGGTGACTTGAGTGACAGGAGGTAAAAGAATTCCCATAGACCTGCAATTTAAAATAAATATTTTATTAGATTTATTTAGATCTCATATTAACGAAATAAAATTCCATCAATTTAAAACAAAAGTTTAGTTTTGACATTTTATAGCAGTTTTTAGATTAGTATTTACAAATGGATTTTAATGTTTTTAATGAAAATTAATGAATATACACTCCCATTATTCACGATTATTATTCTTTTTTCAATAAGGTATGTAAGTTTCAATAGGTAGGTTAAGTTAAAAGTTATTATGGCCATTTCAATTTCCACTTCGGAAATCGTTCTCATAATACAAAGCATTTTTTGTATTTTGAGAATGACATCCGAAGTGGAAATTGAAACGTCAATAAACTTACTTTGACCTTTAATTGTGGCTTATTCCCATTTAAATAGTAATTACTTTAAAATGTCACAAGAAAATAGCATCAAAACAAAATTACAAATCGATTGATAAACAGGAGTTATAGCAATTTTTAAGATTATGTTTGTTACTTTTTAGCCTAACACTTAAAATATTTTCCGATATTTCCCATAACAATTTCTGATAGAAGTTTCAAACAAATTTTATGTAGGTTTTCAGCGCATAATAAACATGAATTATCTACTGAGACAGATAGATTAGCGAAGGTAAGAAATACTTAAGACTTGTGTATTAGAAATTTTGCATCTTGTTATAAGTACAATTATCTCTAGATTAATCATAATTTTATTTCGAGCGCGATTAGATTTCACAACATACATGAAAAATAAAAAAATTAAATATGGTATTCACTTTTATGAACTATGTCGTGCAGATGGTTATGTACTAAACATAGATATATACAAAGGGCAAGGAGAGAACTCGCCTGATGAAGCTATGTCTAAAACTGAAGCTGTTGTATTAAAATTAATACAACCATATAATAAACAAGGGATATCATCCCTATATGGACAATTACTATAACAGCATATCGCTAGCTAATAGACTTCTTCGACATAAAACTCACGTAACAGGTACTCTACGAAGAGACCGGCGAGGAAATCCTGCTGTAGTCACTAAGCAAAATTAAGAAAAGGAGAGCATGTATGGAAATGACAAGGAAAAGTGTACATTTCAAAGTGGAGAAATAACATCGAAGTGCTTGCGATTACGACTTCGCATCACTCGAAACTAATAAGATGTAAAAACAGAAGACAGCAAGAAAAAATAAAGCCCATATACAGGTGTGATCAAATGATTTCATACTTTTCATGTCCCAGGAAAACCATGTTCTGGTATAAAACGATAATACTTCATCTATTCTATTAGATATATCTGTCTGGAATGCATTGTTTTTTTGTTCAAAAAGATTAACAGTCCTAATCCAGCAGCAACTATCAGATTTATCGATTTCAGGGATTTACTTATCCAGAGCCTGTTAGGACTGGACCCTAAAATAAAAAAAGCGGGGACATTGATTAAGTTCTCTTCGCAACATAAACCATAAGAAAATACGGCTCTTCTTGATAATCCTGAAAATTTACCAGTACAGCATTTTCAGGAAACGATACCTTTTCCACAGAATTATAGCCGAAATAAGTATTTTCTGCGTTACACACAGTGCAACAAAAGACGGAAGGAGAAGAGAGACCAGCTATAGGTGCAAAACGTGTGCTGAACATACCCAATTATGTCCAGGACTATGTTTCGTGTTTTGTATGTATGTAAATGTATTTTTTTGTATTTTATTTTTTGCATTTTACTGTTTGTATTTTTTTTCTTCAATTTTATTTATGTTTGGTTTATTAAAATAAATTATTTTGTGTCATAATTAAGCGGACGGTGATAACCGTCATGTCCAATGATGCAGATAATAACGGTTATAACAGTCCATGTTTTTAACAAAAAAAAAACTATACTAACTACTCCTAGAAACACCTCCCTAAGGGAATTTTTGAATTTTAACTTTTAGATCCATAAATATCCGTATATCCATATCACATTTATTAGCAGATATCATAGCGCGGATACAGAAGCATTGTAAGATACACATAAAGTGCTACATAAAGAAGGCACAGACATACTTTGACCCATCCTTACAAACTAATAAGGGTGTTTACTGGTCTTAGAAATTAGCTCATTTTTCAAAAAATCTTATAAACAAATTAAATTTTGCAATGACTATTTTACCGATCTGGCCCATCTTTTGCACATAATTCAAACACAATAAGACGCTCAAGGTCAGGTATATTTAAACAAATTTTAATAAATAATAAATAAAATAATATTCAAAAGCAGCGATTTTGTTGTTCATTTTGCAATAGATTTTAATTGAGCATATTTCACTTTGTGTATCTTTTTTATTCTGAAAACGTTGTCTGCTGACGTCAAATCTCTAAATAGACAAGTTTTAAGTTATAAGCAAAATAATGAGTTTGACGTTTTGATTGTTTTGATCAAAAATTGATGAATCCCACTAGATAAGAGTCTTTTTGAAATATTTCATACCACACATTTCAACTATCAAACCCGTCTATGTATACAGTTGTGACGAAAAATGGTTTATTTTTTACTATTTGGTTGCTCTAAATACGGCAACGTGAAACCATTTTCTATTAAATGATTTTAAGTCTATGTCATGAGTAAAATATATTACAATAAAACAAAGGTAAAGATTATGTTGCATGCGGCATGCAAGATTAAATTTTAAGTATTTTGAAATAGTATTGTTCAATAATAAATTAATTTGATAGTAGGAAACTCGGAGCACCAAATATAAATATGATCGCTCTTAATAAGAAACGATGAAATATTAATATTTAAAATGTTTTTAGCTGGTATTCGATTTATATGTGGGTCAGTTTGAAAACTACGCAGTAAAATGAACAAAAACAATTTGATAGTGGCAGCAAAGTGGTAAAAAGTGCAACAAAAACAAACCTAATTTCAGCTTGGTATTATGCTGAATTTATGCTGACGACGCAGTAGTTTTTGCAGATAGCCTAGACGATTTACAAGCAATAATGTCGCGCATATCAGATATAAGTGGAGAATATGGAGTGGATATCAATTCAAATAAAACAAAGTACATGGTAGTTAGTAAGCGCGAAATATTAAATACACATCTTTAGGTAAACCAACAGCCAATTGACAGGGAAAACAGCTACACATATCTTGGTACTAACATAAACAGTCAATGGGACCACTCTACTGAAATAAAACAACGTCTAGGGAAAGCAAGATCAGCCTTCGTAAAGATTAAGTATCTTTTCGGAAGTCACGGTTTACCACTTAGTACCAAAATCTCTAACATCAGACGCTATGTATGTTCTACATTATTATACGGAGTAGAGGCATTGACGGTCTCTGAATCTTCTTTAATAAAGCCTTCGAGATGTGGTGTTACAGACGCATCTGACGAATTTCATGAAAGGATCGTGTGACTAATATTGAGGTCATACGTAGAATGGGCGAGGAAATCACTAACACAATCAAAGAGCGCAAACTAGAATATATTGGCCATGTTATAAGAAATGAACACAGATATGGCTTATTGCAACTCAATCTTCAGGGCAAGGTATTTGAAAAGAGAGGACCAAGGAGAAGAAGAATATCTTGGCTTCAAAACCTGAGGAAGTGGTTCAATACGTCTACAACCGGATATTCCGAATAGCTGCAAGTAAAATCAGGATAACTATGCTGATCGCCAACATCCGATACGGATGGGCACCGTAAGAAGAAGAAGTCTTAAGTTATCATGGGTTTACTATAAGTAGTAACAGGATCTAGTTCTATATTCCTATTTATTACTTTTTGTTTCCATTGTGTATCTCTCACCATTAGAAAGACAAAATTAAAATATTTTGGTAATGAAAGGAGAGTGAAAGGAGAGGAGAAATATATACCCTACACCAGCTGACCATGCAGGGTAAAGTAGAGGTGTAAGGAGATAGAGAGTAAGGCGGAGAATCTCGTGGTTAAGGAACCTCCATGATAGTTTGGCTACATATCCATTGAGCTATTCAGGAAAGCAGCATTCAAGATAGAATAGTTGGAATGATTGCTATCCTCCGGCTAGAGATGGTACCATCAGAGCAGAAGGGTCTCTCAATTGCCAATCTTAGTAACGATAGTTCTCTGAACAAGAAGTAATGATAAGGATTTTCTGGTGCATACGTGCGACGATATCTGTGACAATATCTTTACCAAGTAAATACATTCATTACGAACATATTTTCATAAAATAAATATCACTCAACGATTATCAGTACACTTATAGATTAAAAAAATTAGTTCTAATTTAAGTATATCAACAGAAGATAAATCATTTATCCATTGTTTTGAAACAATAAACCCGTATTTACAAAAAAAAACATAAGCCTTACAGATAATTGAAATACGAAATGGTTTCGTATCACCTAAAAACGTCCGTTTTAAAAAAAGTTAGATCGGTGGATAAAAATAACAAATAATAGCTGAAAATTCTTTAAAATAAAGATTAAATAAATAATCAATATTAAAAATATTTAGAAATAAGAAAAATAATAACAGATTATCAAGGTCGTCTTAACTATCGAGTTACTTAGAATTACAATGCAAATAAGATGGTTGATAATCATATTAGCAAAAATACCAGATTAACAACAGGTGTAGATAATAATCATGCAGTTAATTGGTACAATAAATAATTATTTGTATATAATTTTTCTTAGTCGCTGAAGGATAGTGAAAGTTTATTAGTTTTCGGTAAAGATTCTTTACCGAATCTTTGGTAAAGACTGGTCAAGTACGCCCAAAGTGCACAACCGCAATTGATGTATATTGATTGGTTCTTAATTCTACCAGAAATCGCTCATTGACATCGATGCGCCTCATAAATGAGCTACTCAATGTCAGAAAAGTTAATGTGAGTTTAAAACAGTTAATCGAAGATTAAAAGAAACAAACTTAAAGCCTAGAAACCCTGCCAAAGTTCCACGTTTTCTCCAAAATCATAAAGCTCGTCGTTTAGAATTTGCAAGAACAGATATTCTGTAAAATATCGAC